AGGCTTATAGGCTTAGGCTTATAGGCTTAGGATTTATAGGCTTAGAGGCTTAGGCTTATAGGTTTAGGCTTAGGCTTATAGGCTTAGGCTTAGGCTTAGGCTTATAGGCTTAGGCTTACAGGCTTATAGGCTTACGCTAAGGATATCCACCTGAGTTTACCACTACAACAGGGAGACCCAGGGTGGCAGGACACCTGGCCCACAGGTCCCCAGAAGTCTAGACAAACTTCCTTCTTCACCTAGACACTGGTCTTTCTGGGGGGGGAAAGAGGTAACCACTTGTAGGCTTTAGTGACTACCCCCAATACGTGCTCTGCTGTGCCCTGGTGTCACCGGCCCCCTCAGCACCACAACCTCTCCTGGTAAGATTGGGACCTGTACCCAATGGCCCATTCCCCTCTGCAGGGCCACGACTGTTTCCCGGTGCTGTTCACCTACGACAGTGCAGCAGGGACACTGAGCTTTGGTGGGCGGCTGGACGTGCCCAAGCAGAGCTCTCAGCGCGGCCTCACGGCCCGTGAGCGCTTCCAGAACCTGGACAAGAAGGCCAGCTCGGAGGGTGCTGTGACGGCAGGCGCCAGCCTGGACTCGCTGCACAAGAACAGTGTCAGGTGGGGGCATGGACGGACCAGGCATGGTGGGCAGTGCCAGGTGGGGAGATTGTTCCCTGGAGGCTGCACCATTGAGAACCTCTGAAGGGAGTGGTGGTCACCCTCACTCTGCGTTTTCAAGGACCTCTGTGTGGGACTGTCCTAAGGTTTGTTTTCACAGTTTTCAGGGTTGGCCTGCAGGTAGGCCACGGAGAAGGGGTCTAGAGCTAGAATCCCATCACGAGAGTGAGGCCTGGCACTGGAAGGTCTTAACTGCAGACCCCTGAGGGAGTGGGGACATTTAGATTCAGGAAAGATGTGAGGCTTGACTTAAGACAGCTGCGTCCTCCCAGGCTGCTGCCCAAAGCCTGTTGTAGGCCCTTCAGAAATGGTCCCTGTTCCTCCCCCAGCCCCAGCTTCTGCACCCCCACACCCCACAGTCGGTCCCTGGAGTCCTCCCATGTTTTCTGGGCCGCTCTGCCCAGGCTTTGGTGGCCCATTACTTGTGGCCATGGAGAGCACTCTAAAGCCTGTCCTCACCAGCCCCCCACAGGCACAGTGGTCCTTTTGGTGCCCTCACCGGGCACTCAGGGCAGATGGGGATGCATGAACCTGGTCCCCCTTACAGTCAGATCTCGGTGCTCAGCGGAGGAAAGGACAAGTGCTCACAGTTCTGCACCACCGGCATGGACGGCGGCATGAGCATCTGGGACGTGAAGGTGAGGCCACACTGGGTGGGTCCCCATGGGCCCTTGGGGAGCTGAGTGGCCCTGGTACCTCCCAGCCACTCCCTTTAGGGACACAGGTCCAGGGTCCTCTGGCTACTGGGGCTGGGTGTCTGCAGGACAGGTGGGAACCAGCCCATCTGTTCTGCCTCCTTCCAGAGCCTGGAGTCTGCCCTGAAGGACCTCAAGATCAAGTGACCGTGCGGAGGCTGCTGCCCGCATCCCAGCTGCTGCGGGAGGGGTGCTGAGGCACAGGGTCGCTTGCTGAATGTCTCCCAGGGTGCCAGCACATGGCTCCTGTGGGGGCTGCTCCCTCAGGAATGGGGTGGGGGTGGGGTCAACTTTCATTGTTTTTTATCAATTAAGAAACATGTGCCTTTTTGGAAAAAAGCTAAATGCTTTCATATATTCCACAAAATGCCCCAAAGCACTTTGCTGGTCAAGCACTTTGCTGGTCAAGAACTGCTTCAAAATACAGAGGTTAACAAACACGCAGCGTGGACACAGTGGTCTGTCTGGAGGGTGGGGCTGGTTTCACAAGAGTGTAGCTGCTGTCTTTCCATGTTATCAAGTTGGTCTGACTTACCAGCCCCCAAGCTGGTCTTGCAGCGTCCCCCCACACTCCTTGCTCCTGGAGAGCAGCATTAATCCTCAAGGCCAAGGGCCAGAATTCACCTTCTAGCGTGTTCAGGCTGTCGTGGGAGCCACCTGGGCACCTAGAGGGCAGCCTGCTGTGCACCTTGCACAGGTCCCCTTCGGCCCCACGTCCCTGCTTTGTAAAGGGAGGGGGACCTGGCTCTGGCACCCTGTGGGCTCCTCTCAGCCCCTTCCTGGCATCACCAGAACCTCATCCGTAGACCTTCCAGACTGGGCACGGGCCCAAAGACAAACAGGAGGCGAGGATTAAGATAATGTTAAGTTTAATCTGCCAAATATACAAGTTGAGTTTGTAGAGCGTTTGCCTGGGTGCTGCACAGTAAACAGAGGTTTCCTGAAATGACTGATGGGTAGGATTAACAAGGGGCCCTGGTCAGGTGGGTGGGTGGGTGGAGGGCAAGGAAGGGAAGTGCTGGGACCCTCGGGAACCCAGGACACAGCCCCTCTCATGAGCGAGCACCCAGGCAACACAGACTGGGG